AAACCTAAACTCCTTTGTTATAAGTGGGAAGGGAGAGGCTTGGAAAAAAAATTTACTCTAAGACTTTGCTGGAGGAGATGTTTTGAAGATAAAGAGAATAGAAATTAATTCTAAAAAAGATTTAAAGCACAGACTGGACGTTTTTTCTTTCCCTAATTTGACTTCACCCCTAGAAGAGAAATTGTAAAAAGAAGTTTGTACTCTGCCTGGACTGTTTGATGATTACGGGATTTTGGGACTTTTGGGAACTGTTTTAAGTTTGGAAATAACTGATTGGCTTAATAATAAGAAGAGGATACAGAAAAAGAAGAAGAAACAGTTTAAAATGGCTCTATCTCTTGATGAACTAAAAAAACAATATTTAAAAATAAGGAAAGAAGGCAAAGATGTTATGGGAGAAACCCTTTGTTTCCTAGATATGGCGCTTGTCATGTGTCAGCAAATTAAACAACAGCTGGAAGAAGCCGAGGAAGAAGAAGCCATTTTTAATGAACTAAATGGTGTGACTAAGAAAGAAAGGAGAAAGAGAAGAGCGAAAAGGAAGGACTTAAGAAATAAAAAAATATTTATGAAAGAGAAAAAGAAGATGCAAAAACAACAGAATGTTAGAAAGCAAAAGGAAAGAGGAATGCAACAGAAAGGGGAAACCAAGAAGGCAGAGGTTTGGAGAGGAGGGGGTAAAAAGTTTAGGCAGGCTAAGAAGGAAAGGGAAAGGGGGGAAAAAGTTACAAAGGTATAAAACAAGATGGAGAAAAGAAAAAATTTTTTAGGGATAATGGGTAATGTATGGATTTTATTTTCTTAAAAAAAAGGGGGGGATTCTGCAAAGTACACATGAGTATTGTAATAGTGGTATTTGTATTATAAGTAGATAATCAGAACTTTTTAAGATCTAATAAAAGACTAAAATATTAAGGTATAACTTTAAAATGTTTAATAATGAATGATTTTAAGTTTTAATAAAATACTAAAGGGAATGTTTAAAATATTAGTTTAAATATAGAGTTTAATGGATTAATGTGTTGACTGTTATGGATTTATTATTGTAGTATTGGTTTCTGAAATAGTAGAATGTACTAAGCAGAATCTGATTGGGATTTAGGTGTTATTTTAAATTTTAATTTAGGGGAATGATAGAAAGGCATCATACTCTGATTAGTGTTTCCAGGGGAAACTATTCTTTTTTATATTGGAAATGAGACAGATGTAAATGGAGAAATGGACAAAAGATATAAAAATATTTTTTTTTAAAGCAAGATTAAATATATAAAACAGAATTAAGACGAGGCAAAAGTGGAGAGGAGTTATATAATAGATATAGAATGGTAAACAAGATAGGTAATGGTATATAAGAAGAGCATGAATTCAATTGAAGTCCATACAAAAAGAGGTAATCTGGGGCCAAGTTACTTTCTAAAAGAAAGTTTTATGTTTTTATGTTTATGTCTTATGTGTGTGTGTCCAATTAAGAATTAAATAATAAAATCTCAGAGGAAGACTAGATGAGAACAATTATAAACAAGCCAGAGGAAAATATAAATGTGATGATTGTATAGCAGATAAATTAGAAAGGAAATATGATTGAATAATGATTAAAGAGAAACAATGTGGAATTTGGTAAAGGGAATTTACGTGTTTATATGGAAATGGGATAAATTATAAGTATGTGATATAAAGCAATGTGTTACCTGCCTTGTAAAGATTTACAATGGAAAGAGGTTTTATGTTTTTAATGTTTAATGATGTTTTGTTTTGTTTGTTTGTTTGTAAAATCAATAAAACTTGTTTTTTTAAAAAAAAAAATTTGAATTGCATTATTCCATTGGGTAAACACAGGAATTGAGAAATTCCCAAGAGGGAGTAAAACATTAAGATATGCTGTTTTTGCTCAGGGCTCCAACTCCAACTTGTCTCCAACTGTAGCAGCATGACATTTTTTTTTGTAAGCTCAATAAATATATCTGCTTGTGCTCCTGCTGTCTGGACTTCATAGAACCTCTGCCTTCTCGTAAAAAAATCACTCTGCTTTTAAATAATCCAAGAAAGAAAATAACCTAGTTTGGAAGACTCCAGAGCACTTTGAATCTCAAAGTCAGCAACTTGGTTACTAAATAATGCAGCGAAGGAAAAACCTTTCCTGTGCAGCAAAGGAAAGGAAAGGACTCCAGGTTTTGAACTGAAGGAGTAAGTTAAGGCAAGAAAAGTAGCTCTCCCACAAGCTGAACTTTCAGTTCAGTATATGGCAAAGGTTTCTTGTGAGGAAGATTTGCTGGCGAAGAAAATCTGATGCTCTTTTCTCTTAAAACTGCCTTTTTTTCAAAAGACAACTGGGCTGTATTGTCCTTGAGGAGGAGGAAGAAGAAAATGTTTCTCTTCTCATCCAAGAAGCTTCATCAGTTCTGCTGTCAAGAGGAATGTAAGGATAGTTATTGACAGTTGAGACTGGATGGTGGAGGGATGTTCTTTTATGAATACTGGATTGATTCCCCAGCAAACACAGTTTTGCAAATCAAGGAGTAATGGCACACCCTCAACATCATCACAATTCGTCTGCAAGATCTTGTACAGCCAGTTTCTTGTCATTTTAATACTTTATTTTTTTGCAGCTGATGCTGACTAGGATTTTTTTATATATATAAACTAGAGAGAAGCAACAGATAATCTCTGTTAGGATAGCTGTGAAATCAGCAGGATAGTTTCTATCACAGAGTAGGAAAACCCAGGAAGCATAGGTTTGGTAGCACATTGACAGAGATGAACAGAGGCAAAATGCACAACAGTGATAGGAAACGATGGCACTTTTATGACTTGTGGACTTCAACTCCCAGAATCCCTGAGCCAGTCATACTCAAGTTCTATAATAATGTCACAGCCTGTAATCAGAGGTGGGGAACAATGTCCCTTTTATGACTTCTGGACTTCAACTCCCAGAACTCCTGAGTCAGCCACATAATATATAATATTATATATTTTTAAAAGGAAATATTAGCTTGGATTTCCTCAGAGTTTTATATTTTGCAATGAATTGGATTAGGGCTAACAATAATGGTCAAGCTGAATGAACTCATTTCCCACAGTCTGCAATGTGCCTAAGAGAAAACCAAATGGCTCTGAATGTGCACCACATTCATAAACATGTTTCTTAATTGCAATGACGGAGCCCCAAATGCCAGTGCAATCTGTCTCAGCTGCTTGAATTATTAATGGTTGTAGAGTACTTGTGGTTTCAGAGAAAGGCCGGGAAAGATTGCTTTTCATCTCCACATAGGCATGGACATAAAGCTCATTGGATTCAGTGATTTTATGAACAAGCACATAGACATCCTGATGGAAATCTGAGATATGAAGTACGTAGTAAACTGTGAGATTAGCAACCATTGTTGTTCATATGAATGACAGTGATACCACCATTCCCCCAAAAATGGTTACCATTCCAATATCGCAAAGGTGCTTTTTTTAGGAGACAACAGACAGCTGCAAGGAATATAAATCCTTCCATTCCCCACTATCCTGTCAGAGCTGAAGAAGCTTCTTGGATGAGAAGCAAAATGTCTTCAAAGAAAAACAACAACAATTGGATTCAGTCCAGTTGCCTCCTGAAAAAGCACCTCTGAGACAGCCATGATCTGGATGACTGAGAATCTCTACAGACTTTTTCCTATGCGTGAGGATTGGTTATTTCAAAAATTCATTCACAAATCAGCTTTATTCTTTTTCAGCAATTCTTATTTATATTCATTTGAAAATGTGCTTTGTTTCAAACACATATATTTTGTCTGAAGCTGGCTGAGAATCAGTGACGAGCACCGTCCCCTTGAGTAGGTCATGACTGGGCTTCTGCTTTAAACCTTTTGTCTGAAGATGTAGATTCATAACTTCAGTGTGGTTTCTGAGTGCTGATGGTATCAGAATAATCATGAATTGAGAAAAAGGTTGGATAACTCCAACTTTTGGAATTATCAGAGGATGTTGATTATGTGAGTTCACAATGGACTTGACAGAGATCAAATTGTGCATCTCAAGGGAGAATTGGGTAGACGATAGGACTCATTAATTTTCTTCTGTTTTTCTTTGCCTGCTATTCCTTGCCTTCCCATTACTTTTTTCCCCCTATATGTACTTTCCAGCACAATAACACAAAATGCATTATGTGAGGAAGCAATGCTTGTTAAAAAACACAACATAATATGAAAGTAAAAAACAAAAACAAAAAACCCCAGAGATCTGTTATGAAAAGATTACATGTATTAATGCATACCTTTAGAAAAATGTATAACCATGTATACAGATTTTTGTGCAACCTTTAAAAAATGCTCTCAAGCAGATAAAGACGTGCAATAAAATAAATTGAATTAAGACTAGAATTAAGACTAGAAAAATGAGAAACAAGAAGAAAGCAAACTTTATTAACTTCTAGTCATCCCATCAATGTATACTATACAGTAGATAACCTAGGTTGAGAAAATTAAAGGATAGTATAATTATTTTATGTGGGAATATATTTTGGACACTATGTCTGGCCATGTTTTTAGTAATATGTCATTCTTAGCTTTCAAGCATACATATCATTTGATGACTATGCAATGAATGGTGTTATGACAGTCATGCAAGGGAAACATTATGTGCATCTACATTTCCATTAATCATCTCTTTGGATTTATTGTTGTCCTGTCTGATGGGAGGGCATCTTCGAAAATTGCTTACATGCTTCAGAGAAAAATGGAAATAAGCACCATGCAAAAAGCTTGGTGGGGTAATGCTATCTTGTTGCTAAGTAACATGGTATCCTCAAAGGTCAGTCTCTAAATGTTGACAGATTCAGTTTTCCCCTTTTAAAAAAATGGAGAAATAATAATGAAACAAGGCATGAAAATATAAGGTAATTTGAAAAGAAAAAGGTTTTTTTCCCAATGGCAGAAAGAGATCAATTGTTACTTGACATGGTTTCAGGAACACTAAATCTCAGTGGTTAATTCTGACATTGAGAATTGCCAGGATTCTTATGCAAAAGTTACTTAAATCTAAAGAAGCAACACCATATTTATCCAAATTTCTCTTTCCCTCTATCTCTGTTTCTGTCTCTCTCTCTCTCTCTCTCTGTGTATGTGTGTGTGTCCCTCTCTATATCCACTCCTCTGCATGTGTGTGAATACCCAAATAATCAGTTAAAAGGCTACATTAACATAGGAACTGTACCTATTATATAATAAGTAATATTGCTGCGTATTAGTATAATATCTGAGTGACTGCCCTGCTGTAGTTACTTCTTCCTCTGGAGCAACTCAGATAAGATTAGAACATTTTTGGACTTCAAGATCAGATTTCCAAATTGAGCTAGGTGTTCTCTAGGATCTACTAAAAAAAACCCTTCGCTTTTATCTGTAGAAATATTAAAAGTGTGGAAGTTAGTCCACATTTGCATCTGGGTATCCTATTATGTTAATTTAACATCTTTTGGAATTAAAGTGATACCATAATTCTTCTCCCTTTTAACTTCACTAGAATTTTGTGAGGTAAGTTTTGATAAGAAATAGAGACTACCTTAAAAAAAATCACCTAGTGAATGGGACTTTGAATCTGGATCTTTGTAATATTTATTTTTTGTAATTCCTGAAACAAAATTTAAATGAGTTGCATTCAGCTAAATAGATCATGAACTATGCCTTTCTTTTTCTTATACTGTATATTTGTATGAAGTGAAGGATAATTGTAGAGAAAATATGTAGACCAGGAGGAAGGTGCTGATAAGGTATGGATACATTGGATTTTTTTTCATCACAGAAAACAGCTAAGACGTAAAACACATCTGATCTAAATTTCTAAGGGTGTCAATATGATATAATGATTAAGATTAAGGTGTTGAACTAAGAGGAACAAAACTTAGTTTCTACTACTCCTTTAGGTCTGGAAAAAAAAGCCAGCCAGGTATCTTCTCTACGCTGGGTCTGTAATCAGAGGTGGTATTCAGCAGGTTCTGACCAGTTCTGGAGAACTGGTAGCAGAAATTTTGAGTAGTTCGGAGAACCAGCAAATACCACCTCTGACTGGAGATTTTACAGTATCCTTCCCCTGCCATGCCCACCAAGCCGTGCCCACAGCAGTAGTAAAGTAAAAGTCTTAAAAGTCTGACTCACAGACGAACACAATACAGAAGCCTGATGATTGACTCTCTCTTCTTTGTGGCAGTCCCTTAGATATTTTAACACTGCTGTCATCTTTACCCCAGTCTTTCTTTTCATTGAACGAGACATACCTGCAACTGTTCTTCATATGTTTAATTTGTTGTTTCTAATGAAATAGTTCTAGTTTTCACGCTTGAAATAACAAAACAAATGAAATTTGGAATTTAGTTTGGAAATTTAATAAGTGTGTAGTTATAGATCTGGATTGTAATAAATATAGGTAATGTAAAAAGTTGAGGTTGTGGGGGTATTTTATTCTGTTGGAAAGAGTTGGAAGTCAATATCTTTTTTCTCTCCCTTTTCCCCCTCATCTTGCACTTCCCTTTCCCTTTTTTAACGTTTTAAAATCTTTATTTTCATTGTATTTTATGCTGTAATAAAACCTCAATAAAGCTATCATTTAAAAATAATTTAACAACTAAGTTAATTGGGAATCCCATCTTATAATGTTTTACACTGATATTTACAAATGTATATTTCCTACCCAAACTCCTTAGAAATGCCAATGGAAGTAACATTTTTCACACAGTGTTCTCTGTACTTGAATTTTAAATAGTTGTAGGCAAGGCTGGATCAGATTAAAAGTGAATAAATACAACAACAAAAAACCACCAAAGAGAAACAGCAAGCTGAGTGGAAAATTAGTTGGAATGGGAAATAAAACAGCAACAAATAATGGTTGAAAGAGGCAAATAGTGGGGTTTTAATTTTTCATTATTTTTATCAATTACATAGAAGACAGGATAACAAGGCATCTTTCAAAAATGTGCTTTTAAAACTATAAAAGAGGAAATTTGACTCTAAATACTACTGGTGTTAGATGACACAGGCACCTGCAAATTTAAGTCCAGATAAATTGTCTTTGTATAGTGAAGTTAAATATTTATTGCTAAAGTGAAGTAAACAACAGACAGTGCAAAGCAACAAACACTAAAGAAGTTAATGAATTGTAATAAATTCTTCATTCAAATTTTTATTATCAAGGTAACATAGAAAATTGAAATATTGGAATACTTAATTTGAACATGAATTCTAAATAAATGGTTTCATGGTCATGGAATACTAGATCTATCCTGATACTTGGAGCTTAAACATTTTAAAAATCATTTATTTGTAAGTCAAATATTCTTAAGTCAATTTCTGTCTTAAAAATGTGCCCTGACAACAATTCATAAATGTTTTATTAGGCAAATAAGAATCTGTTAGACTTGTAGTAGATTTGCACACGTACAAGTAATACGAACCTTGTGACTCAAACATAAATTCCCAGACCCCTGGAATTAGTTATTCCAAATTAATTGGACTACAGTTCCTATAATTACCAGTCAGTATGCCCAATGGCTATATAGACTGAGAATTAATGGGGAGATGTAGGTCCATACTTCTGGAAAAGCTCAGATTGTAAACAGCTGACTTCCACAATGAGGGCTTATATAATATACAGTATGTATACAATTAAGGCTTATATGGAGAGAGACAAACACACACACAAGATGCATACATACACACTAATCATGTTATAACTTTACACAAAACACAAAAAAGGAGGCAGAAACCAAAAGAACATGAGATAAGGGGAGAAATGAAAGGAAAATGCAGTACAATTAGCATTATGCAAGCATCTTCCTATATCATTCTGCCCTTGGAAACTGTCCTTGTTGCCACCATGACTGCCTGATATATTGGTTTTTGCTCTTTAATTTTTTTCTCTCCTCATCAAATTCATCCAACCATCGCTTTTTCATTGATTTTTGCTTCCTCTAGACCAGTGTTTCAGAACAATGGGGAAGTCTGGAGGGGGGGGGGTCTATGACAACTTGCTGTGGCTAGCTCATCATGGACAACTTGTCACTGGACAATTCACTATGGGACAAGTTACAGTGATATCAAAGAAATGGTAAAATAGAAACATTAAAAAAGGAACCCAAAGGAGGGACAAAATGAGATGTGAATGACAACAATTAAAAAATTTTTAATTGAATTGTTGAATTGTCCCACAGTGAGTTGGCAATGGAAGTTGTCCCATGGCAAACTGGCTGTGGCAAGTTGTTCCATTCTGATTCTGGGAGTTGAAATCCACACATCTTAAAGTTGCCAAACACTGTTGAAAAACATTACTCTAAATTGTTTTCCTCTTTTCTTTATATATACTGTATTTTTCATATCATTTGCTTCAGTCTCTTTCTATGACAAAATGCACCATTGGCAATTCACTTTGTATTTGATCCTTGAGACACTACATTGGAAGTTCTGCCTCTTACAAACGAATGCATAGTGTCATGAGGAATGGGAGTTTGTGTTGCTATACTGTGATGCATGTTGAACTGCTTGCCCCATTGACACCCCCCTCAAGCCTTGTAGACTCTCATGCCTCTGCAGCCCAAAATGGTTTTGATAAACTGAGAATACAGTGAACAAAAAGTTATAAAGCAACTTCTAACTTTCTAAGATAAATAAATTTACATGGAGTGGACTGTTGCTTGCATTGCCAGCCTCATGAAATGGAACAATAATAGGTAAAATTCAAATGGGTTAAAATAGGCATATTTATATTGTTTCAAGATTGCAGCATTCACATATTATACAACCATACCTCAAAAGAAAACAGAAGAATAAAAAAAAAACCCATATGACAAACAGAAAACGTAAGTACAAAAGAGAAAAAGGAGTAGGTAAAATTTGCAGCTGAAATTACATGAAAATTCAAGAGACTAGCATTTTTAATAGACATTGCAGAAAGAGATCTATGGTAGTCCATGGTAGCCAAAAATAAGGAGGAATTTGATAGCACTATTTCAGACTAACAACTTTTATTAAAAGACATAAAATTTCATGAACTACAGCTCATTTTACCAAATGTGACAACACAATAGTGTAGGAAATTTCTGAACCCACATATATCAGAGGGTTTCAGACTATTTTATAAGATTTCCACAAACAACCATTTGTTTGTTTGTTGTTTAACAATTAGATTGTTAATTGAAAATGTGTTTATAGGAAGCAGTTTGGAGAGATTGTTTCATGGATTTATCTTGAAGATCCCCTTCAGTTTAGACTCTACTTGCTTGGACCAAAAAGAAATGTTTGATCATAGAATTCCTACTATGGATTCACACATGACTATTCAAAAACAGAGGGGGTGATTAAATTCACAGTGGTAGTAAGTACATTGTTAAACAGGTTTGTTATTTTCTGTCAAAGCTATTTTTTAATGAGTGTAGGGAAAAAGCATATCATTCTATTTGTTTATCTTATAAATTGCTTCTAGAGTAAACTATGTGTAGTTGGTGTTGATGAAGAAAATATTTTTTTATTTATTTTATTTGTCAATCGCTTACAAAATAATAGGTATAAGTATAAACATGAGTAAGAATACAGAAAATAGGTACGATTAAATGGGGACAATAAGATAGGGGTGGAAGGCACGATGGTGCACTTATGCACGCCCCTTACAGACCTCTTAGGAATGGGGTGAGGTCAATAGTGGATAGTTTGAGGTTAAAGGAGTAGGGGTTTGAGTGTGTAACTATAGAGTCAGGTAGTGCATTCCAGGCACTGACCACTCTGTTGCTGAAGTCGTACTTTCTGCAATCAAGTTTGGAGCGGTTAACACTGAGTTTGTATCTGTTGTGTGCTCTTGTATTTTATATTTTATTGTATTTTATATTGTATTGTATATTGTGCAGAATAATGGCACGGAGCAGAGGTTATAAACAAATAATGAGCCTAGAAAGTATGACAGCTTGTACTAATATGTGCTTACCTGGATACACAAAAATAAAGACAGTGCCTGACTTCTAGCAGGCACATAACCTTAACATTCACAAGTATTTGGACATGCAGGGGTCAAGACAGTTAAAATATAGATTTGTAAAATTCATTGATATCTCTGGCCTATGTCTCCTCAGACAATTTTGATGGGCTGTTATTGTACTTTCAATGCAATATTAATGCAGCTGTCCATTCCACACACAAGAGCCTACTCTTCACTTTTGTAGGGACTGCTCTGTCATCTGTATGAGATCCATTACTTGACCACCTGTTTTGTTACTTGCTTGTTGATGAACTTACTTGTTCTGTCAATTTTTGGTTTCCTTAAATGGCCATATAGAAGCTATTTAATATACCTATGCCAGGGAGATGATTAAGAATCCAGAGTAACCATGGTGTATAAGCAGAAAGATAATGGGTAGATTCCTGGGTAGAAGTCTAGCAACCAAAAACCATTCCTATGATGCCTCTTCTCAACAGCAATAACAACAACTTTTCTGAGTAAACTACTACAAAGTATTTGTCAGGGAACATTGGGGGAAAATGTGGAAGGGTAATGTTCAGAAAAGACCAAAGTATTTTTTTTCAAAATATATCACCCCCAATTTCTGTACCCAATATTAAGACAGAAGAGTAATTTTGAAAGGAATCCAGAGTTAAAATCAGCTTTGCCTTAGGTTTGTTTAAAAAGAAAAATTACAACCTCCCAATCATCTCAAATATTCTCCATCTAATGTCCAGGTACCTGATATTTGTCTGAAATGGAAGAGAATATCTGACCATTGTGAAAAACTGATGGTATGGATGGAGAGGGGGAGGGAGGGAGATGGAGGGGAGAAATGATTCTAGGTGAATATTATAGTTCAAGGAGAATATTTGTTATTTCTAGACTGGAGAGTGATTCATATGCTCTGTAGAGATACTCAACTTATAGAGGTTTAGCATTCAAAATGCTTTGCATGCATTATTTAGTACTGATCTTTATAATAAATCTATGCTAAGTTCGTATTTTTATTCACAAGTTGTTAGGGTGGAGGACAGAACTTGAAGCAAAAAAAGAAAAAGATTTTCATAGAATCACCTAGTAAATTCACATAAGGAATTAAATTTTAGCTCTCTCTCTCACTATCTCACTTACTGCATAATCGCTGCCTCTATCTATATTCTGTCTTAGTAGTCAAAGAAGATATGTAATTTTCTCCAATGGGACTGGAATACTGGTTACGTTTGTGCAGTGTGTGTCTGGGATCTCAGATGAACCACATAGAGATTTGTTAAACAGGAAATCCTGAATCAATAACATACCACTCTCTATCATTTCCTTTTTTTATTGAGGACAATTCATCCAAATTCTTAAAACCCAGGATACCAAACTTTCCTTCTCAGAAGAAAGACTGCATATCTTAATTATCTCCTTTATCATCAGAAAGATTTGGTTACCGAAGTAAGTCTTAGGTCTCTACCTTCTCAAAACTAACTTACCCAGAAATGAGATCAGTCCAGTGAGCAAATGATATTATCATTGTCAGACTTCATGGGTACCTGCACTGAAGCTATCAAAACAATCACAATAAAATTATCACAGCCAAAGATTAGAGGACCTTATTAGTTTATGAAAGAAAGGTTCAGTCTATTAAATAGGCAGGTAATAGGAACAGCCTAATGCAGGGGTGTCAAACTCAATTTCATTGAGGGTCAAAACACAGTTGCATTTGACCTGGGGGTGATAGGGGTGTGTGGCCAGGGGTGTATGGCCAGCTCAAGGTCACTTGTGTTGGGGGTGCCTGTAGTGGCCTGAGTGCTCTGCCAGTGAAAGCAGGCTCCTGAGCTACTTTTTTGGCTGTGACGGCCTCCTGCAACCCTCTGCCAGGGAAAATGGAGCTCGCAAGGGCCACCTGTAGCCCTCCCAAATTCCATTTTCACTGGCAAAGGCACTTAGGCTGGTCCTTTGCTGTTTCCAGGGCATCCCCACAGGTCAGATCTAAGCACCCCATGGGCCAGATCTGCCCCCTGAACCTTGAGTTTGACACTCCTAGCCTAATGAAAAATATTGTCCTTCAGACTCAGCATCTTCTTTCATTTTGGCTTAGTGTTTCATAAATACAGTAATATCTTAGGCTCAATTTCATGTCACTTCTTATATAAAATGTAGTTTTTAAAAATGGCATAATAGAATATCCCTGAAATTCACCGGTATTTGACTAATATAAACAAGTTTATTTATTTTATATGTTATTATTAAATTTATTTGCAAGGTATTAAGGTATTCCCCATTAGAAGAATGAGTGAACTCAGGGAAATGTAGTGAGAATGGTGTTGAATAACACACAACCAGCATACAGATACACTGGATAGTAAAATGTAGGTTTTACATCCAGTAAATGGGTAAACAAAGTCCAACAAACAGTCCAAATCATAAACAGTTAAAGCAGGTAGAATTCAATACAATCAGTCCAGGGATAATCCAAAAACGAAGTCCAGTATCATAAACAAAGTTCAGTAAACGGAGTTTGCTAACAGTTGCAAGGCTCCCAGCAATCCAAGCAGAACAACGATCAGGCAAAAGGCAACAAGGAAATGCAGGAAGAGAACAAACCAGGTTTCTGGATCCATCTTATGGTGTTGGAGGAACCTCAGCCAATCACAATTACAGCATTCTCTTAAAGATACAACAGTATTAAATGACTATCCTGGTTTATATATTGCCAACCCAACTGTTAGATTGTTAGGTGACTGTCATTCCTAACATTCTCCCCTTTGGATAGGACAATATATAAAACCTTACAATTTAAGTCCATATTCCTAACAGCAAGTCTTATGTTTTACAGTGCCTTGGGCTTTCATAAAATGATCTGCAATGTTATTCTCTAACATGCAGTGCTCCAGTATAATCATTTTACTTTGAACACATTGTCTCACATTCAGATATCGTAGATCGGTGTGTTTTGATCTTGCCTTTACAGCGAGATTGGTAGCCATCTGAATTGCTGATTGGTTGTCTTCATATACAACAATAGGTTCCTTTACATTAATTCCCATGTCTATCATTAGTTGTTTATAACATACCAAATTCGTACATAATAGAGACAAACATGAGAATTCAGCCTACATTGTTGATAAGCTTAGATGTTTTTGTCGAATAGATCACCATCCAATTAACACCTTTCCAAATAACACTACAGTACCTGATGTTGATTTAGGTGTAGGTACGTCTGTAGCGAAACTTGTATCGGCATATGCAGTTAAACTTAGTTCATCCTTTGGCTCCAAATATAATGCATAATGCATTGTTTGTTTAAGATATCTCAACACACGCTTAGCAGCTTGCCAGTGCCTTTCAGTAGGCTCAGAATTAAACCTGGCTAATTGGTTGACACTATATCCTATGTCTGGCCTAGACCAATTACTTAGATAGAATAAGCTACCAATCAATGATTGATAAATATCTTTATCAAAAACAGGACTTTGCACATCACTGTGGCTAAACTCCTGGCTTATTGGTGTTTTAGCTGGTTTACAAAGTTCCATTTTAAAGTTCTTCAGTAACTGGTGAATTCTATTTGCCTGTGAGATTTTGTAGCCTCCCTTAGTTTTATCTATTTTCAAACCAAGATACTATTTAATCTCACCTAAATATTTATTTTAATTTTTTTATCTAACATTGAAATAATCCCAGTAGCTTCTTGCTCGGTCTTAGTGATTAATGCTATGTCATCAGTGAACAATAAAAACAATGGAATTATACCATCACTTTCCTTTTTGAATAAACATGGATAAGCCATGCCAGCTACAAAACCTATCTTTGTTAATTCCTTCCCTATGCACTGGTTCTATTCATAGCCTGATTGCTTCAAGCCATAAAGATTCTTTTTAAATCTCCAGCAATCAGTTTTGTTATCAGTTTTTATCCCCAAGGCCTTCTTTAAATATATAGTATGTTGCAACGGTGCATGCAGATATGCTGTCTCAACATCTAAATGGTTTATTGTGTATTTGTTCTTAGTTGCCCACACTTACACCGTTCATAATGTGGTAGCCTTCAGACTAGGTGCAAACATCTCGTTGTAGTTGTTGGCTGAATGATCGAATCCTTGTGCTACTAACCTGGCTTTATGGGTAACAGTTCCATCTACACCTGTCTTAATTTTATAAATCCACTTACACCCTATCACATGCTCACCTGGTGGTAACCTGACATTTTCATATACTTCCAACCTTTGTAAGGATTTCAGTTCCTTATCTATTGCTTCCTGCCAAGCAGCCTGATCCTTAGCAGGATACAGTTTCAGCTCATTATAGATAATAGGAACTATATTTACTTGGCATGCTATACTAGCCTGATATCTCTCTCGTGGTTGTGTTACAGGGGTTGAACATCTAGGTAACTCAGGGCTTGCTGGTAAACTCTCCTGTTCCACCTGCTCCTGTTCTTCTACCTCCTTCTGTGCCTGTTCTTCCTCTTTAATGGCAATTGATGGTTTAGCTATCTCATCATTAGGGACTACTTGGGTGTCAATAACAACATCATTGTTAGATTCCTGTTCTAGTTTATGCCACCCAACATGCTCAAGAAATTTAGCACTAGTGCTGCAGTAAACATTAGCTGTGCCTGGAGCTCAGAATCTAAATGATCTATGGTTGGCCTTGTAGCCTATGAAAAATAATTTCCTAGCTCTATGTTGCCCTTTAAGTCTTACTTGTGTGGGAATATGCACCCATGCTGGAGCTCCAAATGTGTGTAGATAACTTAAATTTGGTTTTCTGCCATGCCAATGAGGGAATGGCAATTCACCAGTTCTTGTGTTCACCATATTGTTTAACACATGGTTGCTACACATTATGGCAGTGTTTCAGTGTTTCAAGCAAATCTGAATCGGATAACATTGTGCAAGCCATGGCTTGTAATGTTTGCCCTCTTCGTTCTATAAACGAATTATGTTATGGCCTGTAAGGTGCAGAACGCTTATGCTCAATACCAGCCAATTTCAACATCGTTTGGAATCTATTGTTAATAAACTCAGTCCCGTTATCTGTAACTAAAGTAATTACTGTATGTCTCATTTTTCTCTCAGCAAACCTTAGCCAATTAAAGAAATGTTGGAACATTTCTGTTTTGTTTTTCATTAGATAGCAGAAACTGTACCGTGAGTAATAGTCCATTATACTCAAAACATAGCAGGTACCTCCCAAACTGGGTTTCCTAGGACAAATTATGTCAGGAAACGCAACCTCTAAAGGTTCTTTGGTCTTAAACCCATTCATTCTGTTTGGAGGAGTAACCCTTGCTTTTCTCCTGGTTACATGCATTACAGTTTAAGTACTTGCTACAGGGTTTTAATTTTACTCCCTCTGACAATTTAACAGTTTGTTTCAGCATCTTGAAATTAATGTGCCCAGACATCTATGCAGTAAATTTATACATTCATCATGTGGCTTAACATTGTTATAAACCGAGTTAACCATCTGCAACTGGTCGTCATATATAACATATAAATCATTCTCTAAAGTAGCAGTAACACTTTTACCCTCTTTATTATACTGTTCTCCCTAAAGGTTACTACATAACCAATATTAATTAAAGCCCTTACTGATAACAAATTAAATTTTAGTTTAGGTTCGTATAACATACAGTAAATAAATGCTCATTTACACAGTACCTTCACCAGATGCTTTCATTTTCCACCCATTTGCCAATGATACATGTTGCTTACTCATAGACATCTTTACAAACCTCTCTCTATTTCTACTAATGCACTACAATACTCCACTATCAACTACCCACAAATCATGGTTTACAGTTGAATTGCTAGACATAGCTAAATTAACATTCTTCTTAGCCTTCTGGTGATTACCAGTATTCTGTCATTTGCCCTTCTTACAGAATCTAGATATATGTTCCCTAGCCCCACAAGAAAAACATTTCCTAACAGTATAGGCAGTTGTAAACAAATCCTCTTCTTGTGGTTGTTTCTCACTCAGTTGGTCTCTTTCCACCCTTCTTCTTGCCTCTTCTAATAATCGTCTGGTTATTTCAGTCAATGTCAGTTCATTTCTGGCCAGGACTTCCAGTGAAGATACGTAATCATCATAATTTTCATCCAGTGAGGAAAGAATGACGTAAACCTGATGCAGCTCTGAAAAAATCAGTTCCTTTTCATGTAGCTCTTGAAAAGTTATTTTCATGAAGTTCAAATTAGCTAACATATCTCCACCTTTCAGAAGACGTGCTCTAAACAGTTTACATGTAAGATGTATGTGTGCACTTACACTGTCATGAACATAAATCCTCTTCAAATTCTCCCAACACCTAGCAGCAGACTCTTCTCCATGAATATGGACTAGCTGCTGGTCACTCAGTCCAATTATACAAAGAGCTCGTTTGTTGTTCCATTTAAAGTCAGCTAACTTTTTAGCATTGTTCTCATTATTTGGATCCCAAGCATTCACATCCAATGTATTCTGAACTGCAGCCCATAACCCTTTCCTACACTGACGTAGACTGTACTTCATAGACCTGGAAACATAGTTTGTTCCATCCAACCAGGTTATCAGTGATAGACTTGTTGACGGATCTTGTGCCATCTTTACCAGGACAGTAACCCACAATTAAACAGTAAACAACTGTCTGTATATGGTACTGCATATTCACACTAACTCTCAGTTATCTGAGTCTGGTATGTGCTGAGCCCATAACCAGTGTTGAGGTATTCCCCATTAGGAAAATGAGTGCACTCAGGGAAACATAGTGAGAGTGGTGAGGAATAACACACAACCAGCATACAGATACACTGAATAGTAAAATGTAGGTTTTACTTCCAGTAAACGGGTAAACAAAGTCCAACAAACAGTCCAAATCATACACGGTTAAAGCAGGTAGTATTCAATACAATCAGTCCAGGGATAATCCAAAAACGAAGTTCAGTGTCAAAAACAAAGTTCAGTAAACGGAGTTTGTTAACAGTTGCAAGATTCACAGCAATACAAGCAGAACGACGATCAGGCAAAAGGCAACAAGGAAATGTAAGAAGAGAACAAACCAGGTTTCTGGCTCCATCTTATGGCTGTTGGAGGAACCTTAGCCAATCACAATTACAGCATTCTCTTAAAGATACAACAGTATTAAATGACTATCCTGATTTATATATTGCCAACCCAACTGTTAGGTGACTATCATTCCTAATACAAGGTGACTCAACAAGTTTGATGGGCTTCAAACCATAATTTGAAACTTCCATGCTGACTTCTATTTTATTTCTCCTTACCTAGTAGCCAGGCTGTTCTATACTTAAAAATGGTTTTATTTTATTCGTCTTTTTAAAATCTAGATCTTCACAACAAATTGCTAAAATGTGCTATGCATAATGATATGCATATGATTATACTTATACCGACAGGAACAAATTGCCAAGGATCTACCTATTATGGTGTGCAAATTTATTAATTAAACATAGCGATGCAAAATCACCTGTTCAAAAATTACTTTTAAAATGGGCATCAAAGTTTTTCAGATTGCTCAAACTAGTGTTTGCTAATAGTCCATAAGAACAAATATGTTCAGAAACCCAGGAAAAGTGATGGACTGATGATCAGTAGATGAAGAATTAGGTTAGTAGTCATGCCAGCATGATGGGTAAAAAAACAAACTCTGCTACTGAATGTTCAAGTCAGAAAACACAAGTAAAATAGAATGGCATATATATTCAATTCAGTATGTACTCTCAACTGTAGTGCAACAGCAAGGTAACAGCAGAGCTACCAATAACAAAAAACTGGACAATATTGGAAGAACACATGGGAGAAATGTTCATTTTGTATGTACTTTACCTTACAACAACATTAGAACTAGTACATTTGAGTGTGCTGCTTGTCTGGATTATCTTGCAAAATCAATATCAATGCTGCAAATCTGAAACAACTCCCTTCAATTTTACAATCCAAGAAACTAGGAACTGTGACATTTGCTGTGCCTCCTATTCAGGGGTGGGATTCAAATTTTTAACAACTGGTTCTGTGGGCATGGCTTAGGAGGTGGGCATGGCTTGGTGGTCATGTGACTGGGTGGACATGGCTTGGTGGTCATGTTATTGGCAGGGTGTGCCCAACTCAACATCACTCACATAGAGGCATGCATCTCCTCGCCTGGCCTCTCATGACTGTGGGGATGCTTCAACAGTCGTAGGTGTGAAAAATGGTCATAAGTCACTTTTTTCAGTGCCATTGTAACTTTGAATGGTCACTCCACACAAGCAAAGTACCAGCAAAGGAGGGGAAAAGAACTCCAGAGAAGTTCCAGAGACAGGAAGTCTAGTCCTGCCAAGAATGTAATAAAGGTTAACAGAGAGGCAGTTTCTGAAAGCAACACCAGAATGTTTCCTTCCTGCCTTCCTTACAGGATTAGGCCTGTAATTTCTTCTAACAACTGGTTCTCTGAACTGCTCAGAATGTTAACAACCGGTTCTAGCGAATAAGTGCGAACTGGTAGAATCCCACCCCCTTCTCCTATTCCTTCTCTGTGCTTAACTGCCGCTTGTCTGACCGTTATCTACTCTGAGACTCTTCTTTCTGTCTCCTAAGGTTATTCCCAAATACTATTACAGCAGAAATAATGGAGTCCAGTCTGCATGGTGCTACAAAATATGCACATAAACACACACAGACACACCATTCTTAAATTACTTTTCTTTATTTATTTGTTTATCTGCTTCTAAATTTTCTTCTTGGAATCTTTTGGAAATCTTAGCCATTGCTATTCAGAGCACTTGCTAGAAAGATCATTTCAAGTGGAGCCCTTAACCCAGTGACTCTACTTCAGAAACTATGTTTATTCATAGAAAGAATAATGAGCAATGTTTATTTATAAGTATGAGATGACATGATGAGCTATATTATGCAAATTTCTATCAACGCAATGTTACTGCATTCTCAGTCAAATGGGTGAACACAGCAATTTGTGATCCTCTGTAAATGGGCTCTACCCTTAGGTGGCAGGCACTTATTCTTAACAACATATGTTGGGGGAGGTGTTTGTGTTTGAATCAGTTTAAGTCTGGATAACTACATGGACAATTCCCTGCAGTTTTCTTGGCAATGTACTTGTCATTTAAAAGATAACCAAAAGAATTATCGCAATCAAAATAATAAATCTTGAGAAAAAAATAGCATAACTGAAAAACTTTTTAGAACAATCAGATTTTATTTTATGTGAAGCTAGAGTATTTGCATCTGATAGACCTATATTCGAAGATGGTTCCTGATGGAAACATGACAAAGGGAAGTGTAGTAGTAATTGTAGTAGACATTGAGATCCTGTAGATGGCGCCAGCAGCATACTGCGGTGTTACCAATATGGGCCTCCTTGCTTTTTGCATGATCTCATTCTCTGTCTTGGGTTGGAAAGTCCCGGACTTTCCGGACTTATAGGTGATCTCATTTTACTAACATCACCACTATTATTAAGGATTGGTTGGGAAGTTTCACCCATGTGGGATCTATTCTCCAATCCAAATGCTGTATCTATGTTACTCTTCCTTGCTTGTAAAAATAATATAAAAGTAAAGAAACACTGTCCAGGCAGTCAGACATCTTGGCACTCTGCACAATGACTGGTCTTTGAAACAGATCAGGGAAGTTTCTTGGAAACTTGAATTGTAGAAGATATTGTTTTAAGATGCAAAACAACAAAGCATTCGTCCTGTTAAATGAGGGTATCTCCAGGGGTGGGATTCTACCAGTTCTCACCTATTCACTAGAACCAGTTGTTAACATTCTAAGCAGTTCAGAGAACCGGGTGTTAGAAGAAATTACTGGCCTAATCCTGTAAGGAAGGCAGGAAGGAAACATTCTGCTGTTGCTTACAGAAACTGCCTCTCCGTTAACCCTTATTACATTCTTGGCAGGACTAGTCTCAGGAACGTCTCTGGAGTTTTTCCCCCCTCCTTTGCTGGTATTTTGCTTGTGTGGAGTGACCATTCAAAGTTACAATGGCACTGAAAAAAGTGACTTATGACCATTTTTCACACTTACGACTGTTGCAGCATCCCCACAGTCATGAGAAGCCAGGTGAGGAGATGTGTGCCTCGATGTGAGTGATATTGAGTTTGCCACACCCAGCCGATAACATGACCACCAAGCCATGTCCACCCAGTCACATGACCACCAAGCCACGCCCACCACCTAAGCCATGCCCACAGAACCAGTTGTTAAAAATTTGAATCCCACCCCTGGCTATCTTCTTTACAGTCAGTTGCCAAAAAGAAGTAACATGCTAAGGGACATGGAAAACATGATGTGATAAATAATAATAATAATAATAATAATAATAATAATAATAATTTCATTAAAATCATGATAATGGAGACCAAGACGAAAAGGTCTATTATATACAGCAGGAAAGCAAGTAAAGACACAAGCAAAAAAAAAAAAAAAGCCAATTTAGCATATGTAATACTTTAGCATTTTGAGTACAATTTTGATTATATGAACAATGAAAATATACATAAAGGTGAAGATATTTTTGTAATAGATCTCCCATGGAAATAGGTTGTCTAAAGAACTAAAGGTTTTCATCTGAGCTCACCAAACAAGATCTTTGTGCCTTGCTAAAAACAAAAACAAAGACCAGGAGTCTGAGAAACCGATCTGCACAGACTTGATTTCTGGCAATTTATTTGTCAGAGATGCACACAATAAAATAAGTCCAGCGTGGGCCGGGCTAGATGCTATCACAGACCAGGAAAACAGCAACAGCGGGAACTTTAATAGTACAAGCTGTAAGATCATGTGTTTGGGGAGCAAAGATAAAATGTTTATCATTGATCAGGAACTCAGGTGGGAATAAGAAAAAAGAATGCCAGCATAGACAGGGTTTTCTACTTGTTGCTTTCTACAGAGCTAGTTTTCAATGACAGTTTGATCAATTGGTCAGAGATGACATAAGAATTGATTTTCAGTTTACATTTTGCTCTTACATCCATACCTCTGTTACTAATATAGAAGACGACCATTATGGCTCAGCATATAATACTTTTTCTTTCGAGTTGAATGTATTTTAGTTTATTCTTTTTTTATTTTTGATGCCTTCAAGATAGTGCTGACACCTGGTGATTAGTCCCTGAAGTGGAATATTTTGTTTCTTTTAATCTCATTTGTATAGTCAAACACTTGTGCATTTAAAAGAGGGCTTTAAGCTATTTTGCTTCACTTTAATCTTATTTGTATAGTCAAATGTGTGCTTCTTCTTAATGTTTAACTTTCATGGTTCTCAAGAAAAGATTGCTTAATATTTTGGACCTTATCATGTATGCTGGATTGCAGTAGTGGGATAACTCGATGCAAGTTGATCTGGCATTTCTGTAAACTGAGTAATTAATCTGTTCACTGAAGCCTGGGAATTCTGGAAGTTGTGCTCCTAAACAACTGGAGGAAAAGGCTACTTTGGGGTTTTGGGGAGATAAGAGTAAACCTTTTCTCCACTCAGAAATAATTGATGAATTATTTCTCTCTCCTGATTCAACAGTAGTTAGGCAACCCATAAAAGCTGATCATTATTTTTTTAGTTTAGTTTAGTTTTAGTTT